AATTTTTACATTTTTAGTAGAGATGAGGTTTCACCATATTGGCCAGGCTGGTATTGAACTCCTGACCTTGTGATCTGCCTGCCTCTGCTTCCCAAAGTGCTGGGATTACAGGCGTGAGCCACCACGCCCGGCTGCCTTAGGTTTTTTATTAAACTTCCCTTTCCTGCTCCCTTTGATACAGCTCGAATGAGTGAAGAAACAACACCAGGGCTCGTCTTGCAATCGAATTGGGAAAAAAACCACAAGGACACATGTGAAGTGGTTTTAAAGAGTGGAGAGATTTATAGGCAAGAAAGAACTGGGAAGGCAGAAGAAAGAAGCTCCCTGATACAGAGACAGCTGGAGGGGGGCTCCAAAGCCGAAAGAGGAGACCCCAAGTGCCATGAATGCCAGCCAGTTTTATGAGTAGCCTGGAGGAGGCAGTATCTGATTTGCATTGGGCTCAGGGGATTGGTTTGATCAGGCATGTCATTCATGTAGTCTGCTGAAAAAGCTGGCCTTCCCACCCTAGCCTTTTAATATGCAAATATGGTCACTGTGATGTTCTATATTCCTAGGGACATGCGGGGGCGGCCACAGTGCCAGGTACATGTGTGAACAAGGGCAAAAGGATAACCGTGGGAATAGCCATATTGGGTGGACCTAGTTTCTAATGGCCTAAATTTGCATGTCAAAGGTTGGCAGCCCAGCTCTAAGAGCTCAGGCTTTGTAAGAAAGGTTTCTGTGACATTTTGGGCTGGATTAAAATAAAAAAAAAAAAAGAAAGGTTTCTGGAGATGCTTTAAAAAATGAAAACTTCCGGCTGGGCGTGGTGGTTCATGCCTGTAATCCAGCACTTTGGGAGGCCGAGGTGGATAGACCATGAGGTCAGGAGTTCCAGACCAGCCTGGCCAACATAATGAAACCCCGTCTCTACTAAAAAAGAAAAAATAGAAAAAAGAAAATTCCAAAGAACACATTTTCTTCTCTATTTGCCTAAAATAATTTCTTAATAACTCCTACAACACCTTGACTCTTCCTGTGCCCCACCTGAGTACAGAAACCCTGATATGGCTGGGCCTGGTAAGACTTGCCTGTAGTCCTAGCTACTTGGGAGGCTGAGGCAGGAGGATTGTTTGAGCCCAGGAATTTGAGGCTAGCTGTGCTACATAGAGAGACTCCCTGTTCCTGAACTTGAGCTTATTATGGGAGATAGTACCCCTTCCCACATTGCCCTGAAGGGTAATCCCTCACGCCATACCTCATCTCATCCCATTATATGTTATTCAAATCTTGGGAGCCTTAGGGATTTTTCACCTCTTTTCTGTACACCTTAAGAAACCCTGATATGGCTGGGCCTGGTGGGATATGCCTGTAGTCCTAGCTGCTTGAGAGACTGAGGCAGGAGGATTGTTTGAGCCCAGGAATTTGAGGCTAGCCTATGCAACCAGCCCCTGATTTGGACCAGGATCTGAGGTTGGAAACAGGGTGTGTTGGATACTGATTTGAAATTCCTAAAACAGTGGTCCGCAGCCTTGCCTGTGCATTGGAATCAACTGAGGCATTTAAAAAAAAAAAAAAATTCTCAGCCTGGTGTGGTGGCTCATGCCTGTAATCCCAGCACTTTGGGAGGCCAAGGCAGGTGGATCATCTGAGGTCAGGAGTTCGAGACCAGCCTGGCTAACATGGTGAAACCCCGTTTCTACTAAAAATAATAATAATAAAAAATTAGCCGGGTGTGGTGGCATGTTCCTGTAATCCCAGTTACTCCAGAGGCTGAGGCAGGAGAATTGCTTGAACCTGGGAGGCAGAGGTTGCAGGGAGCCAAAATCATGCCATTGCACTCCAGCTTGGGCAACAAGAGCAAATCTCTGTCTCAAAACAACAGCAACAACATTCTCATATTTGGGTCTCATTGTTATTGTTTCTATTTAGTTGATCTGAGGCATGCCCTGGGCACTGCGAGTTGTGAGGTTGTTAAAAGATCCAATGCACAGCGGATCTTGAGAACCACTGTTTCTAGAGCAGGGTTTCTGAACCTCAGCACTATGGGCATTCAGTACAGTGTAGTTCTTTGTTGTGGGAGATCATCCTGTGCATTGCAGAATGTTTATCAGCATCTCTAGACTTTACTGACTAGATGCCAGGAGCACCCTCCCCAGTTGTGACAATGAAAAATGTCTCTAGACTTTGCCAGATGTCTTGGGTGGGAGGGACAAAATTGCCTCTGTTGAGCACCAGTGGTCCTAAGCCATTGGTAGTAGTCTGGGCTATGAAAGACATCTCTCAGAAAGAAAGAGAAGGTGGCTGTTATTGCACGCTTTTCTAACAACAACAACAACAACAAAATATATAAAGATGCCAAGGGGATCTGGCAGAAAATTCTCCCGTAATAGGAAGAAGCCTAATCAGGGTGCTTTCTGTTCTTTAAGGTTTTCTATTTCTAAGCAACAAGATGGCATATTTCTTGGGGAGCATGGTAGAGGAAGGCATCTTAGAGAACAGGGAATTAAGAAAATGATACAGGAAACTTTCTAGCTGATCTGAGGCACAACAAAAGGAAATAAAATCTTTTTTTATAATTAGTATGAACAATCTGGCTTGGATGAAATCTTGCCTCTAGCTAAGGAGTTGCAGCCAGCAGTGTAGCGGCAAAGTAAAAGGGCTTGGGTGCTAAGTGGATGTCAACCAGGAATGTTGCGTTAGCCTTAGAAAGGCTTTGCCACCAAATTGAGTAGAGTGAACTGAACTGGGTAAGAGTTGATATATGTGTATAAGAATAGTGTTAGAATGAACTCATATGGGTAATGCTGGGGTTTGTGAATCAAATATTTTAGTGGTTGTTTTAGTTACTGGTTGAAAATGCAGGAAGCACCCTAGGAGAAGGGGGAAGTGAGAGGGAAGGGAAGGATTTGAATAATGGTGTGTTATTAAGAAGTTGCCATGTGGGCACTTGGAGTGCAATCCCTTTGGGAGCTGCAGAGGGCCAGGGCAGAACACAAACCTCAGAGGTAGGAGGTGACAGAGCTGCTGCATTAATCCATTAATTCCTATTTGTCATGGGTTAAAGGTTACATCCAAGGTCAGTCATTCCTCAGCACTTTGGCTGAGTTCTGGTTTTGGCCTCAGGCAGAGTTGCAGGTACTGGTAATTGAAAGCAGTCCATTGGCACTGAATGGTGATTGCTGGTAGGATGTAGATGGACCATTGGCAGCCTCTGCTATTGTGGTCAGTTTTTAAACTTATTTTAAAGTATTGACTTATGTGCTAGTTTAATTTTTTTTTTTTTTTTTTTTTTTTTTTTTTGAGACAGAGTCTCACTCTGTCGCTAGGCGCCAGGCTGGAGTGCAGTGGCATGATCTCAGCTCACTGCAACCTCCGCCTCCTGGGTTCAAACAATTCTCCTGCCTTAGCCTCCCGAGTAGCTAGGACTACAGATGCAGGCTACCACGCCCAGCTAATTTTTATATTTTTAGTAGAGATGGGGTTTCACCGTGTTGGCCAGGATGGTCTCGATCTCTTGACCTCGTGATCCGCCCACCTTGGCCTCCCAAAGTTCGGGTATTACAGGTGTGAGCCACTGAGCCCAGCCCGATTTTTGTATTTTTAGTAGAGATGGGGTTTTGCCATGTTGGCCAGGTTGATCTTGAACTCCTGGACTCAAGCAATTTGCCTGCCTTGGTCTCTCAAAGTGCTGGGATTATAGGCGTGGGCCACTGCACCTGGCCTCCCTCTATTTATTTATTTTATTTGCTGTCTTGCCGGGGGAAGTCATGTCTTCTCCCTCTGCAATGTAATCTTGGTAAGGTCAGGAACATGCTTTTCTCCTTGACAACTATATCTCTAGTAGGATTGCCAAATTTATCAAATAAAAATACAGGATGCCCACTTAAATTTGCATTTCAGGTGAAATCCATGAATAATTTTTTAGCATGAGAATGTCCAAGTATTGCATAGGACATACTTATATTAAAAACTATTTGTGGTTTGTCTGAAATTTAAATTTAACTGGGCCTCTCATATTTTATCTAGCAATTCTAATCCTTAGGCCCTGACACATAGCTGACTCTCACTACATATTACTGAATGAAAATTTGGTAGCAGCATATCAAAATTGCCACTATGGTAACAAAGCTGGGGAAATGTGCTAAAAGTACAAAGCTGAAGTAGTGACAAACATCATTTTCCATCATATTTCTGCTCAGATTTGCCTCTCTTGTCACACCAGGAGAACCTAATCAACTCACATCCAAAGTCTTGGGCAGCCCTGTAATCTGGGAGGGATTCATAGAAAGGGAACTGGTAGGTATAGCTTCTCACACAGTGGAAATTTTGTCATGGCCTTATACTCAGGCCTTGATTTTCTTTGGCCCTTATCTCTCCAGACTGTGAGCTTCTTAAGGGGAGAGGTTGCTTCTTTTTATTCAACGCTTCATCCCCAGCATCTTCCTCTGTAGCTGGTAGTAAGGACTCAACATGTGGTTACCGAATGGATTGATAAATGAGTGAAGAGTAGGGTAACTGTGCTGGTTTGACCAGGACTGAGGGGTTTCCTGGGATGTGGGTCTTTCAGTGAAGACACTGATGCAGTTCTGCACAAATTGGGACAGGTGGTAACCCTAAGAAAATGAGTGATTCTCACTTCTTGGTGGCTGGTGTTCTTCTCTAGTATCATCATATTGGCTGCAACGTGACCTCCAAAGTTAGACAGCCTACTGGCCTGGCTCCTAATCTATTGAAAGCTGGTTGTTTGGAGAGCTCAATCATGATCCCCTGAATTTCCCCATGTCTGGATTGGCTCCTAAGAGCTTTTCCATACCTTCAGTCTCAGCTCATGGTCTGAATGCTTGGCCTTGTGGCCTGGTCTTGTGGTATCGAGCATACGCCTGGACTTGTGTTCCTAGAATGAAGGCCTCAGGCCAACCACAGGGGAAGGGGCCCTGGGCCTTGGTTCAATCTTACCAAGACTTACCTGACCTGCCAGGTTTGCTCATCAAGACCTGATTATGACCAATCACTACTTCCACAGAACACCAGCAAGTTTATTGAGTAATTAAGGTAACAACCATAGAACTTTGCAAATGTGTTTCCGCAAAAGTTCTGAGTGAAAAGTGAGTTTTCATTTTAACCAACCCCCGCCCCCAATACTACCAGAAAGCATAAGATTCTCAAGAAAGCCTCACAAATCTACTCTTAATTATGGTAGCCATGTTCCCGTCTCAATTAGGTCCTGCTGGGTTCCTGGAGTTGGGAGTAAAATGGCTCTTGAGTGGCTCCCAGCACTTGTGATAGTTCTCATCCAAACACCCGGAGGCCTTGAGACCCCACTTGGTGACTGCCAGACTGAGAGATGATTCAAACATAAATGCCTGGAGGAAGTGGGGTGGGATGAGAAAAAAAGAAGTGAGAGAGATAATAAACACATTTGATTAGATATCAAGGGAAGGTATGGGTAAGCAAAAATCTTCCAATAATAAATCAAAGATTTGTGTGCTAGCATGGTGAGGAGAGCAGGCTCAAGCCCTGAGTTGTGGCTCTGGTTCTACCATTTGTAAGCTGGTGAGACCTGGTGCAAGACTCTTAACCTCTCAGGACCTCAAGTTTTACTATGTAAAATAAAATTCAGCCCTTAAGATTCACATTGTCTTCATGGTATTATGGAACTAAGTCTGCTAGATCCAAGGGCAGACATGGGAGAATCCTGGGAATATCCATCTTTTCAGGGCCTTTCCTTACTGTGGCTATGTCCTTGTGAGGAAAGAGATACTCCCCATTTTGCAGAGGAGGAATTAAGTCTGAGAGCTGGGGAATGACTTGCTTAAGGCAACAAGTCATGGCAGACCTGGGATTTGAGCCTGTCTTTTCAGGATGCTGACCAAGAGATGGACTGGGAAAAGGAAAAAAAGGGAGAGTGGGGAGGAGAGGGAGGCAAAGAAAATGGTAGGAATGGCTGTAGCACCTTTAAAAGTCATATTTTAGAAGTGTCTGAATGGTGGATATTACACTGTCAGGAGGTTTTTGTTCACGACAGAAAGAATATGCAAATACTCTGTGCATCTTAGACATTCCACCTTCATCAATGGCTGATTTTTCTTACCCACTGTGGCTTTAAAAACAAAACAAAACCCAAAAACCAAACTCTACAATTCTTATATGCTCACATTTGGAAATTTTTAAAATACAGACAGGCAAAAGGAAAATAATAGAATTATCTTGTGCTATAACCCAAAGCACCCATATTAATGTTTGGGGCCTAGTATATATTAACTTATTTTTGCCTAAAATAATGTGAATGTGAGTATCCCTGCCTGACTTCCTTCCTATGACAGCCTTGATGGGAAGACTGCATGAGATCATATGGAAGTGCTATGCAAGTTATACAGCACTATTCAAGATGCAGAAAAGGCTTTCAATAAAATTCAGTATATCTTCATGCTAAAAACTCTCAATAAACTAGGCATTGAAAAAACAAACCTCAAAATAAGAGCCATCTATGACAAACCCACAGCCAACATCATACTGAATGAGGAAAAGCTAAAAGCATTCCCTTTGAAAACCAGTATAAGACAAGGACGCTCTCGCATACCACTCCTATTCAACACGGTCTTAGAAGTCCTGGCAAAGAGCGATCAGTCAAGAGAAAGAAATAAAGTCATCAAAATAAGAAGAGAGAAAGTCAACCTATCCCTGTTGCAGATGACCTGATTCTATATCTAGAAAACTCCATAGTCTCAGCCCAAAAGCTCCTTCAACTGATAAACAACTTCAGTGAAGTTTCAGGATATGAAATCAGTGTACAAAAATCACTGGCATTCCTATACACCAACAGTCAAGCTGAGAGCCAAATCAGGAATACAATCCCATTCAAAACTGCCACAAAAAAATACCTAGGAATACCCCTAACCAGAGAGGTGAAAGGTCTCAATGAGAATTACAAAACACTGCTCAAAGATATCAGAGATGACACAAATGGAAAACATTCCATGCTCATGGATAAGAAGAATCAATATCATTAAGGCGACCATACTGTCCAAAGCAATGTAAAGATTTGATGCTATTCCTATCAAAATACCAATGACATTCCTCACAGAACTACAAAAGACTATTTTAAATTTCATATGGAACCAAAAAAGAGCCTAAATACCCAAGACAATCCTAAGCAAAAAGGACAAAGCAGGAGGCATCATGCCACCCAACTTCAAAGTATACTACAGGGTGACTACAGTCAATAAAAACTTAATCACACATTTAAAATTAACTGAAAGAGTGTAACTGGATTGTAACACAAAGGCTAAATGCTTGAGGTAACAGATACCCCAGTTATCCTGATGTGATTATTACACATCGCATGCTTGTATCATAATATCTCATGTACCCCATAAATATACATACCTACTGTGTATCCATAAAAATAATAAATAGTAAGAAAAATTTTTAAAAAGCACTATTCAGATATAAGGATCCTTATGGCCATTCCTATTGTCTCTTTGCTGACTGCTTCTTAAAAGCCTCCCTGTTTGGCTAGAGTAACAAAAGCCCCATCCCAGCTGACTTTGAAGATGGTATTGTATCAAGTTAATCACTCCAAACAAGAATAAGACATATAGATAGACCTAGGTCTGAATTATATAATGGGAAATGGTGAGGAAGACTGAAAGTTAGGTCTAGGTAAAGTGTTGGACCCTCCACCATCAGGTATTCTGGCTCCCTGATACCCAGGGTCTCCCATCTTAATAGGAGAGCTCTTTCTCACTAGTACTGCAGGTCATGGACATTATTTAAAGCACTGCTCCTCATAGAAACAGTCCTGTTCTATGCCTCACTGTTGTAAAACACAGCTCCCTCATAACATTAACCACCCAAAGCCAAGTTGGGGCACCAAAGGTTATTGTGTGGCAACTCTGGAATAGCCTCCAGGAATGTACCTCCAGGAGACTTCAGAGGTTATAGCTTAACTGAGACTGCCAAACTGCATCTCATTCAGATATAGGGTTTCCATAGAGGCCCTTGAAAGGGGAAATAGAGCCAGAGCAAGCAAACGGGACTCTGTACATCCTCCTTTTGCAGAGCAGCTTCACCAACTCTGGCTCCACGGTTGGGACTGAAAGCAAACTGCACTGGACAGATGGACGGATAATGCTCACTGCCTCGGGTAGTTTGCAAGCATGAAGTAAGCAGGTCTGTGCTACAGATTTTAAACCAGGTAGCATTGAAGGCATTTATTTTAAAAAGTAAAGCAAATTTGCATGTGATTTAGCATAAAATTACTCCCTGCGCTCCATAAACACTACCTCAAAGAATGCAAAAATAAAATAAAATCAAGCACTGTGGCCAACTGCAATTGTGTTCAGCCTCAACGTTTACAGCCTGACACAGGAGGAATACAAAACGGATTTTAAATCCCGTCAGCTGCATCCATGCCAAAACAGAGCAAAGGAAAATGAAAAAAAAAAAAAAAAAAAAAACAGCTGAGAATTGCTTCTCACAAGCCCTGACTAAAGTGAAGCAAGGGCTTTTGACACTCTTTGGCTTGAAACATGTGCTGAAGGTTACATCCTGCCTCTGCTACTATTGTGGCCCTGGAGGATTACTTCAAAAAGCAGAAGACTCCGAGACATAGCATATGCTCAGGGCTGCATATGGTACAGGAAGAGGGTTCACATAGTATTAAAAATATTCCCTTATATTTGAATCATGTTGGACAGTTTGTTAGATTAACTCATGGCCATCTGTTGGGTTTGATACTATAATCATTTTACAGATAGGGAAAATGAAGCACAGAGAAGTTAAGTGACTTGTTCAAGATCACACAGGAACTAAGAGATGGGGCGTAAACCCAGGACCCAGGTCTGACTCAACTCCAAAGATCTTTCTACACTACCACACCAGAAGTCTAGTATATATACAAGGATGTGTGTATATAGACATGTAAACATACTTATGCAGTCATGTAACTCTCCCCCTTTTGACTCTCCCTCTGTGACTTTGGATAAATAAAAAATGGCCACCCCTTTCAGCAAGGGTGGAGAGTTCAGAGGCTACTGGAATCTGGCAGTTAACATACTTACCATGGTGCCATCGGCAATCCTCTCAGGTGCCAGCTTGACCTTGCTGGCCTTCTCAAAGCAGTCAGCATCAGGTCCATGCGGGGTCATTGCGCTGTGAAGACTGCCTCCCCCTGGCAGGAACCCACCTTGCTTTGCCTCATAGTGACCTCGGATGAGTCCCATGAACTCACTCATGCAGTTCCCTGGGAAGGTTGAAGCAGTATTATTTTTATTATCCAAGGCAAGACCAGTAAACACCTAGACCCCTTACACATCATTTCTGCAGAATTCCAAGAACATAGGAGAAACTAATAAATCTTATAGGATCTATAAAGAATATAGATTGACAGATGAACAATCACAAAACATTCATAACTGGCATTCTTGGCAGGCACAGCTCTACTCCATAGCCATGTGGATTATGAGAGGGCTTGAGTTCCACTGTCTGACAGGAATCAGGCTAGATCTAAAGAAAATCAGGGCCCAGAGGATATAATAATAATTAAAATGCCAGTCATAATAGAGAGTAAATGTACTCTATCATCTAGCTTGCAAGCCCTGTAACAAAGTTATCTTATCTCCCAGATCAGAACCCTTTCCCAAATAGCTCCACTGTAGGACATGGCAGCATTACATTTCTAGTTTCCAACCTAGAAAGCTTAAGTGGGGTGTGTGTGTGTGTTGATGGATGGTGATGTAAAGAAAAGAACCCCAGGCTGGGCGCGGTGGCTCACGCCTGTTATCCCAGCACTTTGGGAGGCCGGGGCGGGTGGATCACAAGGTCAAGAGATCGAGACCATCCTGGTCAACATGGTGAAACCCTGTCTCTACTAAAAATACAAAAAAAAATTAGCTGGGCATGGTGGCGCGTGCCTGTAATCCCAGCTACTCAGGAGGCTGAGGCAGGAGAATTGCCTGATCCCAGGAGGCGGAGGTTGCGGTGAGCCGAGATCGTGCCATTGCACTCCAACCTGGGTAACAAGAGAGAAACTCCGTCTCAAAAAAAAAAAAGAAAAGAACCCCAGACTTAAAGTCCACTATCAAATGATAATCCGTGTGAAAGAATCTTGGTATGTGTATAAAACAGACCATCAATGCTATTTATTATAACAAATATTATCTTCTATAGCAAAATCTGATATGCTCTTGTCTTTCTGTTCTTCAAAATGTCTTTTGGATTTGTTTTTATTTTTTCTATTTCCATTGATACCCTATTCATAGAGTCCTAAATCTTAAAATTGGAAGGGATCCTTACTTCTACTCAATGTAGAAGAAATTTCTTTCTCTTTTCTGACTGATTACCTCCTGGGCTCTGCCTGGATGTGAATGGAAGCTGTCTACTCTACAAAGCATATCATATTATTGAAGAGCTCTGAGTGTTAGAAAGTTCTTATATTAAATGGAAATTTGCTTTTATATAAGTTAAATTCATTGGTCCTAGTTGTGCTTTCTAGAGTCACACAAAATTTGACTAAAATCACCATGTTTCTACTCTTCCAATCTTATGCTTCTATTGAAATAAAGCTCTTTATTAGAGTAGCAATACAATAGAGCAGGAATTAAAGAAATATAACACCTGAGCAAATATAAGTGCCTTTTCATCTCCAAGCACACATCTACTCACTCTTTCATTCAACTATCCTTTTCCCACTTCACCCATCTTCCCATCCATCCAGCCAGCATATATAATTAGACACTGTGCTGCATACCGTGAGACAGAGATGAATAAGAAATAGCCTTGAAAGCTACTTAAAAAAAAAATCATTAACAACAAAAGAACCTTTAAAGCTACTCATAGTCTGTCCTGTGACAGTACTGAGAATGCAAACCAAGGACAGAATAGAGAGATGTGGCAGTGACAACCCTTACAAAATCAAACACTGGACATGATACATGCCTGCCCTTCTCGCTTACATGTGAAGTATAATCAAGTCCCAAATACTTGTATAATTGACTAAGAAGCCACACCCACCCTGCTCAGAAACAGAAAGCTACTGTAGGCCCCTACAAAGTGAGTAAGAGTGTGTGAGTTCCTGCTGAAGAGGTGAGACCCAGGTCATAGCTCCACTTGTTTCTCTATGAAGTGAAAATACAAAAAAAGAAGTAAATGTAAGCATGAAGTGTCTATTTTAAAAACAGTTCTGTTCATGACTTAAATTTGGTGTCACACTCCTTGCTCTAGTATGGGTCCTCAGGGTCACCTTCAATGCTTAATTTTAAGAAGACAGCAAAATAGAATTTAGCTTTGATCTGAATATGAATTTAGAAATAAATGAGCTTGGCGATGACATTTCTATATCATTCTCTATATTTCAAAGGACAGTGGGAGGATAGACCTTGTCTTTCTGATTAAAGCTGAATTTATTTGACTAAGGCACATTAAGATGACTGGAGGCAATATTTCTCCAAAAATTATTCTCCATTTTCTCTTATAATAAAGTCACATCAAAGTAGCAAAGATTTTGAGTATTGCCAAAGCAATATTTTTAATATCTCTGGAAAAATAATTTCTAACCTGGAGTTTGATGGTTTTTTCTAACTCATTCAGGGTACCCATACCTTTACAAGATCTACCCTGGGGCCAAATTTACTTTGAGAATCATTAAAAAACTACAGGAGGCATCTCTCAAGGTTATTTGTTTCAGGAAGTCTGAACCACAAATAAAAATTAAGGAGTGGTTTGAGAGACTATAGCACAGTAGCAAACTTGTTTAAATCAGATGACTCTATTATCCCTCTACCTAGGGATGGGGACAAGCCCTAGGCCAGTATTTCTCAGCAAGTACTCTGTAAACCTCCTTCATTATAATCCCCTGACTTGACAATGAAAAATTCAGATTCTGGCCGGGGACGGTGGCTTACATGTGTAATCCCAGCACTTTGGGAAGTCAAAGCAGGCAGATTGCTTGAGTTTAGGAATTTGAGACCAGCCTGGGCAACATAGTGAGACCCCATCTGTACTAAAAATCAAAAAAAAAAAAAAAAAGCCAGGGTGGTGGTACACACCTGTGGTCCAAGCTACTCAGGAGACTGAGAGGGGAGGATCGCTTGAGCCTTGAGGGTGGAGGTTACAGTGAGCTGAGACTGTGCCACCTGCACTCCAGCCTGGGTGACAGAGTGAGACCTCATCTCAAAAAAAGGCAGATTCTGAGGTTCCACCTGAAAGCTAATAAGCTCTTTGGAGTAAACTCTGAGAATAAACTTTTAAGAAAAGGCTAAGTGATTTTTATATCCCAAAATATTCTCAAAGTGAGCCCCCTAGAACACTAGCATCAGCATCACTTGGGAACTTGTTAAAAATGTAAATTCTTAGGCCCTATCCTGGACCTACTGAAGCAGAAATTCTGAGGATGGGGCCCAGTAATCTCTTTTAACAAGCCTTCCAGCTGACTCTGATACATGGTAAAATGTAAGAACCACTACAGGCACACAGAGTAATCTCAATAAAAGAATAAGAATGAAACGGTGAATTATTAAGGAGTAGCATGTGAAGTACAGACTATAAGCCAGGGCAATTTTCTCTCCTTGACAACAGGTTCTCTAAGCCACTAACTTCCAGGAGGAGAAAAGTTAGAGTCTTTAGTAGGCTTGACATTTTTTAGAAAGGACTTACGATGCTATTTACAAAATAGCTAGTGTCTTTGCAGTGGTAACTGATCATTTTCTTTTCTCTACCATGACGGCATCATCTGAAAAGGGGGATGCTGGCATTTGACCATGGAGTGGCCTTCTTCCATCCTGAGGGCCTTCATTCCTGATGCTATAAAAGAGCTAAATTGGCCATTCAGTGCACTGTTGTATTCTGTTGAGCCCTGGCACCTGGGAACTGGTATATACAGAGAGGGACCTCATATAAACAGAAGGCCCTTGGGTTTACTAAAGAAGGGAATTTGTTTCCTAGAAAGTTCCAGATGGAATGCCTCTTACAGTCTTCCCAGAACTCTATGTACAAAAAATGCACACTCCAGGAAGTAGAATTGCATATTGACCTTTGGTTGGATTTTCAGCTAGCTATTGCACACTTAAAACTGTCAACCTCATTAAGTACAGCCATGAAGTACTTCATTTATTTTTGTTGATGCATTCACTTATTAAAAAAATATTTATCAGAGACTATGCTAGCCATATGAGTTAGTGGTCATGAGTGTTTGCTCTGGCATTAGACAGCCTGCAATTGAATCCTGACTCCACACTTGCTGTGAGTCCTTGAGAGAGTTACTTAATCCCTCTTGTGTCAGTTTAATCTGAGAAAAGTGGGGGACAATGATACTACCTGTCTCTTAGAACTGTTATAAACACTTTGAGTTGGTCTTAAGAACTTATAACAGGGCCATAGAAATTGGCCAATAATTATTAGGTACTACTACTAATAATATTAATAAAATAAAAATAGTAGATTTGTTAGGTCTTCTACTAGGCAACAAATGCTCTGTAGAAACTCTTTCCAGAATAGAGTCCATTCCCTAATGTAGGCTGCAGTCTGCTTTGCCCTGCCAAAATAATTGGAGAGGGCACATTTCCGCCCCTGCCTCTCTTTTTCTTTCTCTGGTTGTCTGAACCATACTTAGGTGATTAACTTTCCCAAAACAACAGACTAACTAACAATCTCCCCCCAACATTCCCATCCCCAAAAGGAAACATCCAAAATGTGAGGAAACTTGTTTAGAAGCCTAACAAGGCTTCTAATTTTTACCAGCCTTTCTGCCTCTTACGGGACAGAGAACTAGTTCCCAGGAACTAGTCTCAGAGTCAATGCATCACTACTGATCTAGTTTGAATATATGTTCCCTCCAAGTCTCATGTTGAAATGTAATCCCCAATATTGGAGCTGGGGCCTGGGAGGCGTTTGGTTAATGGAGGCAGATCCCTCATAAACGGCTTGGTGCCACCATGACGATTATGAGTGAGTTCTTACTCTATGAGTTCACATGAGGTTTAGCTGTTTGAAAGAGGCTGGGACTTCCTCCTTTCTCTCTTGCTTGCTCTCATCATGTGATATGCCAGCTCCCACCTTGCTTGCCACCATGATTGTTTCCTGAGGCCTCATAAGAAGCAGATGCCAGCACCATGCTGCTTCTACAGGCTGCATAACCATGAGCCAAAGGAAGCTTTTTTCATTACAAATTACGTAGCCTCAGGTATTCCTTTATAGCAACGAAGAATGTACTGAGACAACTACCATCTCTTAAAGAGATTAAACCTTGCGGATCAGCATTAGGCCCTGTGAAGCAGGATCCTGAATTCAAGCCAGGGGAGGTGTCCAGAAACAACCTAGGCATTATTCCCAATGCGTAGTACTCACTGCTTTGTTGTCCCTTTGGCTTGCAAATGTGGCTCGGTAAAAGAGAGACTTACTATGGTAATAAGGAGGCCTGAAGGTCTTATCAGCAACCCCCCATCGAGGTGGGAAGATGACAAAATCAGCAATGGCCACTCCAGGGCGGACAGACTTAGCAGTCAACACTGTGAAAATGGATGGGTCCTGTGAACACACAAGGAGAGACTGAACGCACAATGCAAGAGTGGCAACTGGACAATGACACACATTTCATGCACATTTGAAGGTGTTTGCAAGTGATAGTCTAATTTCTTTTTCATTTATTTACTTTTATTCAACTTTTAATTTCAACTTTTATTTTAGATACAGGGAAACGTGCAGGCTTGTTACATGGGTATACTGTGTGATGCTGAGGTTTGGGGTAGGGATCTGATATATGGTTTGGCTGTGTCCTCACCCAAATCTCATCCTGAATTATAGGTGCCATAATCCCCACATGTTGTGAGAAGGACCCAGTAGAAGGTAACTGAATCATGGGGGTGGGTTTTTCCCATGCTGTTTTCATGAGAGTGAACAAGTCTCACGAGATCTGATGGTTTTATAAAGGGCAGTTCCCCTACACATGCTCTCTTGATTGCTGCCATGTAAGACATGTCTTTGCTCCTCCTTCACCTTCCACCACGATTGTGAGGTCTCTCCAGTCATATGAAACTGTGAATCCATTAAACCCCTTTTTCTTTATAAATTACCCAGTCTTGGGTATTTCTTCATAGAAATGAAACAGACTAATACAGGATCCCCTCACCCAGGTAGTGAGCATAGTAGCCAATAGATATTTTTTCCACCCTCCCCCTTCTAATAGTCTCCAGTGTCTATTTTTTCCATGTTTATGTCCATAGGTGCTCAATGTTTAGCTCCCACTTATAAGTAAGAACATGCAGTATTTAGTTTTCTAATCCTGCATGAATTTGCTTAGGGTTATGTTTTCCAGATGCATCCATGTTGCTGCAAAGGGACAGCCTAGTTTCTGATCAAACAACAGAAGTCTGGGCTTGTCATCAAGGTGCAATAATCACTCATGACTTTTTCCTCTTGCTGTGCTTGAAGCAAAATGAATTAACACCAGCTAACAGGATTCTGAGCTGCTTTTTCACCCTGCTGAGCCTATATTACATGCAACCTACTACCCTGTGGGTCTGAGAACCAGTGGTACTTCAGACCCACAGGGTAATACATTGCTTCTCAACCTCAGATCAGGGTGACTAGAGCTGAGATGTGCAGCAGAAGGGATGCTCAGAGCAAGGTGGAAATAGAAATAAAACAAAATCCAAGTTTTAGTGTAGATGTGCTTCTCTTCGGGAGAACACAAAGATTCCAGATTGTATCCATTGGCAGAAAAGTCTGAGAAGTGGTTCACTGCTTTCTTTGTTTGACTTTCCTGTCATTTACATCATTTACAAAACTAGTCTTCATAGTGGTAGTGTAGAGATGGGACAGGCTGAGGGACAAGATTATGCTTTTTAAAAATTCTTCAGAATTCTTTAGTAAAAAGATTGAGATTCAATTTAATTGAAATCAACAATCATGTTCCCTTTCGGAGGCCATGCAAGGGTCTGGGGATTCAAAGATAATGGGGATTGATTCCCTGCTTATTTAGCATTAATTGGGGGAAGGGGCTGGGCAGCTAATTCTCCCTGAAAGGATCAAGGAAAGCTTCAAAGAGGAGGTGACATTTGAGGTAGGTCTTCAAGAATGAACAGAAAGAAAGAAAAGAGACAGAAAAAGAGAAAGGAAGGAAAGAAGGAGCACATGTACTCTTGAACCTAAAATAAAAGTTTAAAGGAGAGAGAGAGAGAGAGAGAAAGAGAGAGGGAGAGAGAGAGAAACCTGCACATGTACCCTTGAACCTAAAATAGAAGTTAAAAAAAAAGAAAGAAAGAAAGGGGGGGTGATAGAAGAAAGGAAGAAAGGGAGGAAGGACTAAGGAAGTGGGAAGGTAGGGAAATGACATTTTAATCACAGAAAACACATCAAAATGCACAGAGATTTTGTTAAGAGGAGAGAAGGCTAAAACCCCAATGCATTGACAGAAGGGAGAGGGGCAAGAGGTGGTACTGGAAAATGAGTCCAGGGACAGATGGTGAACAGCATCAAACACCACGCTTCAGAGCTCAGACTTAATCCTAAGCCATGGGAAGCCTGCAAAGGTTTTCTAATGAAGGCAGTGGTGGCATGATCAGAACTGAATTTTGGAAAAATAACTATAGCAGCAGTACAGAGAAGCCTGCACCTGTGTAAATTCAAATAAAAATAAACCCAACCTTTAATGCTGTGAGAGTTAACATTTCTTCATCTGTCATGGGAAATGGTCTGAAACTATTAAAGCAAAGGCAGTGAGGTGCAAATAAAGCTTTATCGGTGTCTCAGGATCCTTTTTCATGCTGTTTGTTTGGGGCCTGATGTCTCACTTTTCTTTTCCGCTTTGCTTTTCTTAAGAGTTGCTGCTGTTCAGAGAGATAGTTTGGTTCCCCCAAAGATAAACTGAACTGGCTCAGGATAATCTTTTTGCCTCTTGAGTCTCTGACTTCTGCTCTAATTATCCTTCCAGTCTGTGGGTTAAGTTAATCACTTATGAAGTGGGCTGCAGAATAAACTGCCCCCCAGGATCTCAGAACCAGCACTTTATTAAGTATGGAGGGTCTTGGGGGCCTGCACTGTAGACCAGGGACCTATTTGTGGTCCCCTAACTGACTGAAAAATATGACCAAGTGCATGATCTAGACTTTCTTTGGTTTAAATTCAATGTTATGAGTCATTTTAGAAGTAGGCTGTCCGCCCTGACACTGCTAAACACAGCCAGAAATGGAGGTACTGGGGTGAACAGTCATAGATCACAGAGCAGGCTCTCGAGTTGTGAGGTCAGAGACTTCTCCAAATTCATGACGTTTCTTTCTCCTCATTTCACCACCGACATTAACACTTGGTTGTTTTGGGGGATACATTTTCTACAAAGAAACTAAGTATTTACCCATTTAGTTTGGCAAACACAAGTCAGAGTATTATGAACGCTCTGTAGAGAATGAAGCTGTGTTCACAGGGGAACGCTGAGTATCTGGCTTGGCTCCCCTATTAGTTCTGTTATTTACTCCTTCACCAAAGGACAAATGACTATCTCTAGGGCTTACAACAGTGACATTGGAAATGTTGGATCTGTAATTGTCAGGGGTCTACTGTGGACCCCTTGCACCCAAGGGTTGTCTCATCCCAGGGCCCCTACAGGGTTCACACTTACTGCATGGTCAAAGGCCACCGAGTTGATAACCATGAAATTCTTCAGGTTGTATTTGTAGGGTGTATAGTTCCCATGCCAGGCCACAACATTGAATGGGGAGACATCCTAATCACAAAAAGCAGGAAAAAATGATTTTACCATCTAATGCTTTTGTAGCTGTGATCCCACAATATGTACTCGGTATGCCTCTCTCTGATTTGATTTGATTTGGTTCTTGATTTAATTTTACTGTCCTTTGGGAGAAGTATAACCCTGAATCATTTTGTGGTTGCTCCACATGCCCTCCACTTAGCCACTAATCCTTTCTGGTTCACAAGCTGCAGCTGCCTTCTGATCACACACGTAGCAGAAGCACAGCACATTCTCCAAGTATTGCCTTTTCAACAATTTTTAACCTAACTGTGAAGATCTGTGGATGTCAGCAATTCTCAAACAATCTGGGCTACCTTCTGTTTCCTGGAGCAGAGAGTACCTGCTGTGATGTTTCTCCAGGTAATTTCAGACTAGAGGAGCTTGCAATAGACACAGTGCCTGGGTTGGTGAGTCCAAAGGCGGGGAGAAGGCGTCTAAGAGAGGGGAGACGGCCTCTAAGAGTTCCAACTCCAAGGACTTGAGACTTTGGAGCAATCCTAACATAATACTTCTTGGTCCTGTTCTGGGGTAGAAGAGGATCAGTGTTCTGCTATAGGAAGATGGTCCCTTCTGTATCTATGGGTCTGAATGCTCTAAATATTTTAGAGGCATAGTTAGGGTTAACTGGAATGACTAGAAATGTTGAAGTATCTGAGCATAGCAATAGTGGGAAGACACTGCCATTCCTAGGCATGTGGAATAAGGAGGAAAATATTGTTATAGAACTTCAGCAAGAGCAAGAATTGTAAAAAAGGGGGATACCGAGTGGTGTGCTGGTAAGTATTTAACAACTAGCACTCTGAAGAAAAATATAAAGCATTGACATAGAGTTTACTGATTTCTAAGGTGTATATAGTCTCATCATGATCATTTTCTAGCTATCAATGTGACATCGCTGAATACAGCATTGGACAGAAGTGTGCAAATCAGCTTTTGCAAGTCACTATGAATCAGCTCCAGCATACCACTAGAGCTTCCCAACAGGAGCTGAGGTCATATGGGGGATGCAGCTACTGCCAGAAACACATTCCTAAACAGGGAGGAAGCAGGGGAAGAAATATCCCAATTGTCTTTCCTCTTGCCTTCCAATTTCCTGTGGGTTGAACCCAGCAGAAGCCAGCTGGTTAGGGAGCCCAGGTGATACAGTCAACCTTCTAGGACACAGATCATGGCAAAGAGGGAGAACGGATCAATGGGGACTCACACAGAGAATAACCAGCACAGGGTCCATTTGGAAAGTGCAAACCTTTCTGGAGGAGCTGCTGGCTGCTTCTAGAATTGTGGTCCTCTAACAATTATATATAAACAATGATTTGGGGAAAATGCTTAAAATGAATGTAGGTTTCCATCCCTATCTCCAGAGGTTATCATTTTTGCAAGACTAGAGTAGTATCTAAGGGTCTGCATTTTAAACAAGCCTCCTTGAGGGTTTCTGATGCAAATAGTCCCTGAATTTTGAGAGATCCTGACCCAGATAATGTAAGAATGACAATGTGTCTGCTTCGAGGGTTAATTTCTAAGTGCCAAACTGGTTGACCTCTGCTGGTTGGCATTATCTCTAGATGCTACCTAAGAAGAATAACATACCTTGGAAAATGTAAGGAATAAGTCAAATAGACAAAAGGAAGCAAACAGATAATGCTAAACAGAAGAGATCTTTGGGTTCTTCTTCTCATATGATTATTTTATTCTAATATATATTCAGCATATTTAGTAATATATTATAGAGTCCATATGACATTGTTATTATTAATATTTACTAATATCTGAGCCTTTGCTTGGTGTCCTGTATTTGCCAGCCTGGTACTATAAACCAAGCCAAGCTAATTAACTGAATTCTACTTGTTTTGTAGAATGGCCTGTATTTGAAATAGGGTGCTATTGGAGAATATAAATCTTAGCTGATCTGTTTGTTAACTCATTTCCTTATGCTGCCCATATATTATGTTTTCCATACCATTTATAGTGACCTGCATATTGCTAAGATTTTCACTGCTTGGTGAGTAGAAAGGGCACAACCTTTGGAGTCAGACAGATATGGGTTCAAATGTTGGTTCTGCCACTTACTGTGAAATTGGTAAGCTATTTATCATTATTGGCCTTTTTCATGACTATGAAAGTATCACTGACTATAAGAACTATTTGTCTTATTTGTAGTGCCTTAGTGGTATAACAATGAAAGGATATATGTAAAGTTTCTAACATTCGCCTTGGCAATCAGTAAGTGCTCAATCACTAAGCATTTCTTCCCCTGCCTGCCAACACTCTTACTTTACCTGTTTGGCAGCAAACAGCTTGCCCTGGAATTTATTAATGACAGTGTAACCAGCTGGCACTTGGCGATCCTCATACCAGGCAACGGGTATCAAGAAATCACGAGGATTGGCCAAACCATTGGCCCCTAGAATACAGTAACCCAAAAGTCTTTTAGAAACCTCCAAAACATAGGAAAGATGCCCTGCGTTGCATGAAGAGAAAGGCTTTCTTTCATGTCAGGAGCTACTCCACAAATTGCTTTCATTGCCCTAAGATTCACTGGATTTCCAGTTTGGTACCTTTTAGGAAGACTCGAGGAATCTGGTTAGAAAAAACATTCACAAAAACCAGCATTACCTTCTAAGATTGTGGAGTAACTATGGTTAACAAAACCATCTTATATGCATTATCTTATCACTACAGGTGAGGGGAAGGGAAGAGAGAAAGAGACAGGAAAAGAGGAAAAGGGAAGATCTGATAGAATTTCAGAACTTTTTCTTTTCAAGGAACCCTTGAATACTCTAGAACTCATTGACAGTCCTTGATCTCAGGAAGGATTACAGGCTGTTGCCTTAGGCTTGCCTCTGCTCCTTAGACAGAACTCAGATTCCAAGTCTGTAAAACTGCTCTCCAGCTTGAAAAACCTGTCTGCCACTCAGGAAAAAGTATTTAAGACTTGCCTGCTTACCTCTGCTTAGTAGTGAGTGTCTCCTCCAGAGAAAGAAAATAAATCAAAAGACCAAACATGAAAAATGTAAGTGCAAAAACAATTTTAACTCTGAGAGGAGTGAGCTGAGGAGTGTTTTATTATTTCCAGCTCCTGGGGTTAAAAAAAATAAGCCCCTGGCTGGTTAGTAAATTATAGATATTTTCCAGAGGATACATGTTCCATGGAACCTGGAGGCTATGCTGACGGTATAGCAGCAGGAAGCCAGAGCAGAGTGGGTGGTGAACAGGATGACAGACGGCCCACCATGGCTCCAGCTGCCTCTTGCTGCCTCCCACCTTCCTCTGCATATTTGGATTCCTCAGGGGAGTTGACCAGAAGGCACACACTGGCCTGTCCCTGTTTGCTCTAAAAAGCTGTTGACAAGGAAGGGAAGAACTGGGAGTTGTGACCAAAGAGGAAACCAGGGGCCAATTTTCCCAGCCACTCCTTTCGCTCCAAGAGACAGTTTGAGATCAACCCTTCCTAGCATTTTCACTTCCTCAAGCTTGCCAGAAGAATGGGGGCTGGGGGGTGGTGGTCCTTGGTTCACTTTTGAATATTTTAATCTGCCTCCTGGGGTATGGTTTCTAGATCCTTTATAGCACTGAGTGATACACTTTTTTTGACAGCTAAGTGTGTGGATTTGGTTCATAGACTGTGTGTCACCCAGTCCATCTCTCCTTTCCACAGGAATACAGCCCAGGCCATTTTTATGGCCTTCCCACTTTATTGTCTATAAACAACCCATTGACTGAGCAAAAAGATCTTCCTCCTAATCACAACGCATATTCCCACTTTCATGCTTCTGCAAAGCTGCTCCTTTCCTCTTTACTTTCCTCAACTTTTCGTAAAGAATTAGTCAAATTCTCATCTCCTTTGTGGAGCTCTTTCTGGTGACCCTGGCACACAGTAACCCAAACTTCTACAGTTTTTACTGTACACGCTGTGTGTGCAACCAGAAATCTACTACATGCTGTCTTTATCTCCAATGTTTATATACTATTCTAGAGAGATTTATAGTGGATTGGTTTGGGTTGCTTTCTGTTTTGCATGTATTTTATGGAAAGATGCTTGGTCTAGAGAAGAATTTATCTAGAGAAAAAAGTGGAAGTTTGAGTGAGATAGTGAAGAGGGAAGGATGTTTAACTTTCATGCAATTATCTGTGTCCTACATCTCAAGTGAAGCTTAGAGGCTTGTAATGAAGATTTACCAATAGGTCCAAGGTCAGGTAACTCAAAGTGGACACCGTAGACCTCCAAGATGTAGCCCCTGGTCTCCTCAAACACATCTATGCTGAACCGCATTCCTCTCTGGAATGGAAAGTAGACACTGGTGTGCCCTCTGAAATCACAGCTGTAGTTATAAAGAAGCTGCCCAGAGCCATAGCCAGTCCCACATGCAAAAATAAAGCTTTGGTTTGTTGAGCTGGCAGAGAGGTGACCAGAGCAAAGATGAGTTAAAAAGTAAAACTTAATTCCTAATCACATATGTGACCCAAGCCAATTCTAGTCTACCCTCTCATTGGGTCCAGAGATAACGATAAGCCTGATTTAGTCATATTTAAAAAAAAAAAAGTCAACCTTCACTGTCTCTACTGCCATTAGTGGGAATAGGGACTTATCCAGAGTGTATGTAAATATTTAGTAAAGTGCAGTGACAAGTGGTCTGTGCTTTAGAATTATGTGCTATATTAAAACAAAGCAAGGCACCCAAGCTTGCTTAGTCTTCAGCACATTGGAACCTTCTGCATAACTCAAGCTCCCTCCTCATTGCCCAGACATGACAGAGAAATTTTAGAGTTGGAAATAGCAGCCACTGAAACATCTGACTGCTCCCAAATTAGTGAGAGGCAGGGAAGAGAAGGGGACACATCACCAACCTGAATGACGCAGATCTCATTGGGCTGTACAAGCATCTTGCCAAACTCGGTGTAAATGAGAAGGCTCCCTTTCTGGGGAACTGACAAAAAAAGACAGGGCAGTGGTGAGCAATTCTTTTGGTGTGATAACCATTTCACAAACAGGAAAGGCTTAAGGGCTGCATTTGCTTTTTCATTCCAAATGAAAAGAGCTTTATTGAGTCTCTTGGGGGAAAAGATATATTCTGACAAGTTAGATTAGGTATTTTCCTATCTAGAAGAATGTGAATAAAATAATGACTCTGCTTTTGTGGTCACCAGGCAAGGAACTTGTATACGCACAATTTTGTGACATGGCCAAAAAGGGGTAGCAGAAGTAGGATGGAAAGTCACCCATTTCTGTTAGTTCCAGCAAAAGGCTAACGTTTTCTTGTATAACATATATACCAAAATGTTGACTCCAAAATATTGATACTAAAAAAACCACCAAATATAATAGGCAGACCAGAACAATCTCTGATAGACTTTACATTTTAGATGGTCTCATGGAAATTTGAACTTAAACTGCAGTTACTAATGATAAATGGGCTTTTACTGAATGAGTTCAAAGGCAAATACAGTTATCTTAATAAGTTAATCCCATTAATATTAGTCTTCCTTTCTTTTCAGCTGCCCAGGTCTCCCACATCAGAAAGGTCCAGAAGAGATGGGTAAAGACAGAGAGACAAAGAAATAGAATAGGGGCTCTGAGTTACACTAGAAATCTTTTCCAGACCACTTGTGGCCTCTAGATCTCAGTCTCTGGATTGCACTAAATGAAATAAGACAGATTGGAGAATGAAGGAAAGTAATGTGCATAAAATTAGAAAGCAGCTTGTGGCTAGGGGTCAGTTAATAGTGAGGGGGTCTGAAGTCTTCAGAACTCACCAATCAAGAAGTCCCCATCTGAATTGTAAAAGCATCTGAAACATATAGAGTAATTCCTGTGATTTTCAGTTTTAACATTATCTAGACAATCAATTCGTAACACAAATTATTGTTTAGTACCTACTCTGTACCAAGCTCAGAGCTGGGTATAAAATGGGGAGCAAAATGACTCAGGCTCTGCCCTTGTGGACCTGGAGTCTAGTGGGGAGTCAGAGAGCAATCAAACAATTACAGAACAAAATCATTGCAGTAATCAAATAACTGCAGAACAAAACCATCATTGTAATGTTCTTGTTCAAGGGAATGAAAGAATAAGGACTTGGTTAGTTTGAAGAATCAGCAAAGGCTTCTTCAAAGAAGTGACACATTTGATCAGAGATCTGAAGGCGTTATCTAGGTGAGGTTTGGAGAAAGGAAAGAATGTTCCAGACAGAAGGAACAGCAAGTGCAAGTGCTCAGAAGGAGGAGGGCATGTGGCAGGTTGAAGGAAGTGAAGTAAGGCCAGTGCGGCTCAAATGGAGACAGGGGAGTTGGCCTGATATGAGATTTGATCCAAAGAGAGGCCTCCAGAGCCTTGTCATAGGGGTGTGATATTGCCCCTGATTCATGGCTTAGGAGTTAAATGTCTTACACCACAGGTCGCTAGCCAGAAAATGTGGAGTTGAGCTTTGGACACAAATGGTCTAGTTCCAGAGGCAGTGTATAATAAGGGAAGAATGCCATTTGCATACTTGTTTTGTAAAGCCAGTTTATAAGCTCCTCTACTTAGGAATTTTAAGCTTACACAGGACTATTAGCTGAATCCAAAGTCAGTTAGCTTGACCTGCCACTAATGGGTGGTCCTAATGGAAACTCACACAGAGTGACCTGGGACTCAAGAACAGCCCTGGAGAACCTTGAAAATTAAGGATATTTAAGAGCACATGTTCTTAGGATCTCCTGAGGGCTGGGTCATGGGTTACTGGTCACTCATATTTGGCTCAGAATAAATAAACTCAAATATTTTACATATTAATAGTTTGACTCTTTTTGTCAACAATAATTTGGCACCTGGACACAAAGGGCCTCAGAGAATATTCAGAACCCTGAAGGAGTTGCCGGAACTCAGAGTTAAGGTACCAGCAGGGGCTCATCGAAAGCCCCTTCAACTTTGGGCTTCTCCTCTGATGGAACTGTTAAGTCCCCCTGAGCCCTGTTTTGTTGATGGTCCTTGATTTATTCTGAGCTTTTTTCTTTTTCCTCCTAGGAAGTTCTTGTTTAGGTTCCTAATGCTAGTTCACAGATGCATTCTAAAGGATTTTCTCCATTGTCTTTTTCTAAAGACAAGAAGAATGACCCCCTTTTGGGCACCCTTTTGGTTTCCAGTTTGGAGGTGCATTCTAAACAGTCTTCTCCATTGTTTTTTTCTCCCAAAATTTAGCTCAATTGGCTTGTCTGCCCATTTGCGTGAGAAATTGAACTGTCACTTTTACAGAGAAAGGTCATTTTGTTCCTCCCAGCTAAAAGTCACCTTGGGTGTCTAGGGCCTGAGTTGCAGTGTCTGGGGGATTAATCCCCTGTGATGTGCAGTGGCCCTACAGGGAACCCCCCCACAAAAAAATAGTTTAAAAAGGTTTGTCCTGGAAATGCATGTAAGAGCTGATCACTTGGCATTGTGAGGCCTCTCCGAGGTACTAGATCTCTGGAGAAAGAAACTGAGACACATAACAGGGTGGAAACGACTCCATGGTGAAACACTGTGGAGTTCTGCCCACAATCAGTACACCGATCCACCACCCAAACAATTCCCAGGCCACAGTTCAGTTCCTCCTTTTAAGAAAAAAAGTATGGGAAACAATCTAAGAATGAGGAAAGACAGAGAGAAAGGTGTCTCTACTTGCAAGTGTTTGTGTAAAATGGAAAAGTTCAAGGGCATGCCAGGGTTTCTAGTACTCCAGCTGGTTACATATTACTGTCTGTTGTGCACATTTTAAACCGATGGGAAAACTACATCATTCAGAGCCCAAAGGTCAACCTGCAACCACAGAGTTCCTAAGTTCTCTATTTCTCTGTTTTCTTTTCTTTCTCCTTTAAATGTGCTGTTATTTTTCTACTGAGACAACAACCACTGTTTGGATCTAATGTATACCCTACATGTATTGATTGATGTCTTATGTCTCCCTAAAATGTATAAAACCAAGCTGTAGCCCAACCACCTTGGGCACATGTTCTCAGGATCATATTTGGCTGAGGTCACTCATATTTGGCTCAGAAAAATCCTTGAATATTAAAAAACAACAACAAAACAATATTTGGACTCAAAGTCAAATGCCTTTCAATCTACTCCTGCATTCCAGGGCTCCATCCTCCCTTTTCTGGTTACATTGTTATGTGATGTTCTTGTTTATATCACCGGTGCCAGTCAAGATAAATGCCTTTTGGCTCATTTATTATCATTGTCAATTAATATATATCAATATTGCCTTGAGGAAAAACCCAATAATAAAAACAACTATGTATGTGCATATGTGACTTCACAAGAGCGAGATCTGGAGTTTCGGGAGTTTACCTTCTGGCCAACAGCCCTTAAGGGATGGACGTGTCCTAGTCTAGAACTTAGCCACTTACCTGTTCTCCATGGAGGTATTACAGAGGAAAATGTGGATAGCAAGTCCATTGTTAGACTTAATGTCTCCAGCTCCACACAAGGTGTGCAGGCCCTGGGAGAGAGCCACAGGAGAGGGAAAGGTTAATGTGAATGGTGCCCAAGAGACAGCCCTTCCACTGGTCCCTGATGGTCATGAAGAAATTTCTACTAGGGTCGTCCCTTTGGGACCAGTGGGACATTTGGAATCCACGCAGCCTCTGAGGAGCCTGAATTTACTGATTCATGTTTGGTAGTTTGTAGTTTACCCTAGTCTCCAGGCATGGCCTAAATCTGGGTTGTCTTAGGGGCTATATCAGAAGAACTTACAGAGTATCATCAGTTCATTACTTGGTATTTTGTCAGTTTGAGGCTGATATCAACTGGAAGAAGAGAGTCTGTTGGAGGTAGCATCAGGCATCTACAAGGCTCAGGGAGGAAGGTTGCAGCATCAGGGACCAGTTAAGGCCCCTAAAGTACACTCCACTATGGGCAGCCCTCTGCTTATGAATAGGGTTGCCCTAATCTCTCTGGAATAGGGCCAAGGACTGCATTCTGACAGACTGCAATTCTCTCTTCTGTGTGACCAGATGATCCACAGTGCAAGAAACCTTAACACATGGGCCTTCTCAGAACAGCCCTCAGCCCCAAATCTGCAGATGGAGAGCACAAAGGAGGGAGCTCTGCTCCTCCAGATATTGAGTTCACACAAGAAAGGGGATGGGGCTATCGTTTTGTATTTTGACTCAATTTGTAAGTTTAGGGTATACTTAAGTGAGTCTACACAGGGTTTGGAGCACTTAATAAAGATGAGAACTTCAAGATGATTCTAACAATCTGTCCTATGGTTGGGCACTGGGACTGTCCCTAAGAAAGCCATGAGCTGAGGGTGGTCTGTAGAACCCTCCACTGAGGGTTTGAACCCCACTTCCTTAGAGCTCCTTTCTCCTCTCTCCCAGATACTCCTTACTCTGGGCAGTTATTCCAGTACTCCTAGCACCTATAACTACCGAACAGAGCTTCCAATCAGCATTGCACTAACTAGAGTTGCCTTGCTGAGTTGATGCCATTCCAGCCCAATCTACTTCAGGAAGATAATGAACTTGGATGGGAAATATTTTCTATATATTTTTGGTAATCTCTGAGTGAAATTTATCATTTCCTTCAACTAATATAATGTAGGCAACAAATCATAGCAGGATAAGAGGTGCCTGTAACTTTATCAATGATAAAAATGATGGATATCACATTATAGTCATTATAGATACCTCAAAGTATATTTATGCTCATACCATAATTATTAGATGTTTTCCATAGATATTATGATTTAGCACATTAACAAGAAAGCATATATATGACTACAAGTCAAATTTGTTTTTAATGGTATTTTTGTCATTATATTTCAATATAATTAGCTTCTTTGTAATTTTATATAATTTATTTTATACATTTATAAACAAAGATATCATCAGACTATCAAAACAAGCAAAAAGTTTCAAAGCCCCTGTTCCAGCCAAAAGAAAGGAGCTTAAGTAGAAAAATGTTCAATTGTCATTGGCCTTTCTGAGACATAAATAGTTAATGAGTACCCTTTGGTGTCAGGGGCCATATGGTTTCTGTAAGTAAGACATCCCTCTGCAGCCCCCAAAGCATATGCAGGTGGTTTTGTCTCTGCTGCCTCCTGATAGGGCTGCTTCTGCTTGGAATTCAGCCTGCATATGGTTGGCTCACTTACCACAGAAGAGAGGAGAGCAGTAGGAAGGGTGTAGATAGGACTGACTTACACTCACGAAGTCCACTTTCTTTTGAGATGCTTTTGGAATCTCAAATGGTTTCCATCTAAGCTGGAAAAAAATACACATACATAAAAATCACTTCACAAAGGGAAACCATAGACCTTCTAAATAAATAGCATCAATTACACAGAAGAGAAAGGAAAGCTGCTCCCTCTGTGAGGCTCTACTCATGATTTTGTTATTTTAAAATGATTATCCATCATTTTCTTAAAGGGACTCTGTTAGTGTGTATGTTATTTGTGCACACACATGTGTGTGTGTGCTTAAAACTATATGAATATAAACTGCTTTTGTTCCTTAGCACTTTAAATTATAAAAATAAAAGAAAACCATTGCTTCCTCTTTTGGAAGCTATTTGTTTCTTTTAACATTTTGCTCAGGCACATCAGTGAGTTCTGACTGATGCTGCTTTTTATGCTATTTATAATCAGCTCCCTTTCCTGGCATGCCAGTCTCTCTGTGTGGGCTCCTGACACTGCAGGGGAAGGTTCTACTTCTACTTCAAGCCCTTAGAGTTTTAAATTATTTTTTTTTAAGAGAAAGAAAGAGCACCCAGCTGAGATTGGATCTGGTAAATGCCGTACCAGGTTCAGCTGCTTCATGAAACCCCACGTTTGTCCCTAGGCTGCCTGACAGTTCAGTTTAAATCACAACAATCTTTAATGATGAAGTGATCTAAGGAAGTAGGGAGGAAAATCAGCAGGTTTAGGTCCTTCTTGAAGTGTCAGCCCAGTATTTGTTAATCAACTTGGCAGCAGGCCTGACCTAGCCAGGCTGGCAGCTGATAAGCCCAGCTGCCATGTCTCATGGAGTGACCTGCACCCTGATGACCAGCTCCACTGGCTGCAGCACCTGGTCAAGGTGGGCTTGGCAGGGCCTCCATTAGGTCATAGGGCTCAGATCATTCTGTATTTCAGGAAGGCAGCCAGATGGGAAAGGAAGCAGCAAGTGGAAAAGGCAGCCCTGGGATTATTCTGTCTCTTTGACATACACCATCAGGCAGCAGCCTTCATTTCTTCATAGTAAAGCAGGATGATTACATTCTAAGATGCTTAAAAGGGATGTAAAATGTTGATTTGGAAAACAGTGCTGCAATCATGCTTCAGAAAAAAAGAAATGCTTTAGGACAAATTCCATTAAGGGTGGTATCTCTTACGGGTGTAATGGGGGACCTGACAGCAAGAATCTAGGAAATAGTTTCTCAACCTTGGCACTATTGACATTTTGCACCAAATAATTCTTTGTTGTTGGGAGGTGTTTGGTGCATTGCACAATGCTTAGCATCATCCATGGCCTTCCCTGCACTAGGTTCCAGTGGCATTCCAACAAGTTGTAACAACTAAAAACGTCTCCAGACGTTGCCAAACATCACCTGGGGGGAGATTTTCCCCCAGGTGAGAACCAGTGACCTAGGAGGATATTTCCCTAACATCAGGAAGTGCCACAGCTAAGCACTGCTGGATTTTTTACGGGAAGTTCTGGTCTACCACTAACCATTGCCTGCTGCTTCATTATAATAACAGAGCAGAGTTTTTATACCCAGCAAGATTGTCAGGAAGACAATACTACCTAGAATCTTAGTTTCAAAAAGAAAATCCAGAAAGAGTCATCTTTCTGGATTTCCCAGTAGAAGGGGTTTAAGTATCAGATCAATGGTTGTCTGGGTAACCTTTTAGCTCTATCCAGAGATTCTCAATCCTGGCCACCCATGAGAATCACATGGAGAACCTTAGAGAAAAAAAACAAAATTAAAACAGAATCTGAAGGTGGGGCCCAGACATTGGTATTTTATGAAAGTTCTAATGTGCAGCTAGGGTTTAAGAATCAGCACACTCAACCCAGAGGTTCTGTGATTCTTGTATTGATGAACCAAACATCATACTCAGAAAAGTCCACCCAGTCAAACAACCAACTAATTAGTCAACTAAAGTCTGCCATCTTGGGCCATATGTGGTAGTGACAATGCCAGTTGCTAAATAGCAAGAACGACTAATTAGTACAAGTCTAAGGATTTAAAAATGTAAGGAAAAGGTGATTAAGAAAAAAGAAGAAAGAGAAAGAAAGTAAAGAGAGAGCAAGAGAGAAATCCCAGTAGCAGGGGATTTGCTGCTTGGTTTGTTGGACTGTGTTTGTTCATCTGCCTGATATTAAAATATCTGTTGTAAGGCCAGGTGTGGTGGCTCACACCTGTAATCCCAGCACTTTGAGAGGCCAAGGCAGATGGATTATGAGGTCAGGAGTTCAAGACCAGCCTGGCAAACATAGGAAAACCCCATGTTTACTAAAAATATGAAAATTAGCTGGGTATGGTGACGCATGCCTGTAATCCCAGCTACTCAGGAGGCTGAGGCAGGAGAATCATTTGAATCTGGGAGATGGAGGTTCCAGTGAGCCAAGACCTCACCATTGCACTCCAGCATGGGTGACAGAGTGAGACTCGACTGTGTCTCAAAAACAAACGAAAAACAAAAAACAAAACCCCTGTTGTGAGTATAAAGTCCTGGCCCTCAAAGAAGGCGTTTGTCTTCTGTGAGTGGAAAAGACTGAGCCAGAGAGATTGATGGGTTGACTAGGTCAACTAGTCATTTTTCAAGGACTTCTGTAGCACATCAGTCCTCAAGTTATGAGAAGAGAGAGCCCGGGGAGGTGGATGAAAATGCAACTACATTTCATATTGAAGGGAGCATATCTTCAACATGGCTCACAATCTGGAAGAAGCAATGACCTTGATAAACCTTCTCTAATCCAAAAATGATCCCCAACAAATGACAGAGATGGTACAGAGAGGGGAGTCATTTATCTGTTGGCCCTGATGGCAGAAGATTATACAGAGTGCATATTCAGATCATACTGGGCCTGTATCATGAAGGATAATAAAATCCCCAAGGTGGTTCTGATGAACTCAGTACTCACAAGAGAAAGCCAGCTTTGGATTCTTGGGCAAAAGATTTTGGTTAGGAGCTCTGATATGATATTTTGGTAAATGTGAGGAGGATTAATAGGAAGAGTCCATAGAGTGCATGGTAGAAACATCTACTAAAGCTCGCTGCAGCTTCATTGTATGCTGTGGAGCAGTAACTCTCTGATCGATGGCAAGACCAAAAGGACAGTGCACTGGATACTTGGGTTTTGCTACTTTCTCTGTTCCCATGTTCTCTATGATCTTCAGGAAAGCCATTTTCTTTCTCCAAATTGTGTTTTTTTCTTACATATAACAACGGGGTGCTGGTGAGAACTGCAATTCCATAATTCTCTCCAGAGAAGAACCTCTGAAAGAAGTAAAGGATGTTTGCTGATTGGTTTAGTTCTTGCTATGGGCTAAGTTGTGTCCTCTTCCATATTTGTGTGTTAAAGCCCTGATCTCCAATGTGACTATGTTTGGAGATGGGTTTTAAGGTTAAAAGAGATCATAAATGTGGGGCCCTAATCTGATAGAACCGATAGCTTTATAAGAGGAAGAAGATATCTTGGGAGGCTGAGGCGGGTGGATCACGAGGTCAGGAGATCGAGACCATCCTGGTCAGCATGGTGAAACCCTGTCTCTACTAAAAATACTAAAAAATAGGCTGGGCGCAGTGGCTCAAGCCTGTAATCCTAGCACTTTGGGAGGCTGAGGCGGGTGGATCACCAGGTCAAGAGATCGAGACCATCCTGGTCAACATGGTGAAACCCCGTTTCTACTAAAAATACAAAAAAATTAGCTGGGCATGGTGGCACGTGCCTGTAATCCCAGCTACTCAGGAGGCTGAGGCAGGAGAATTGCCTGAACCCAGGGGGCGGAGGTTGCGGTGAGCCGAGATCCCGCCATTGCACTCCAGCCTGGGTAACAAGAACGAAACTCCGTTTAAAAAAAAAAGAAAAAGAAATACAAAAAAATTAGCTGGGCATGGTGGTACGTGCCTGTAATCACTGCTACCCAGGAGGCTGAGGCAGGAGAATTGCCTGAACCCAGGAGGCAGAGGTTGCGGTGAGTGGAGATCGCACCATTGCACTCCAGCCTGGTTAACAAGAACGAAACTCGGTCTCAAAAAAAAAAAAAAAAAAAAAAAAAAAGAAGAAGATATCTCTCTCTGCATGCACTCAGAGGATAGGCTATGTGAGGACATACTAAGAAGGACTGTCTTTAAACCAAAGAGGAGCCTTACCAGATATCAACCCTGCTTATACGTTGGACTGGGACTCCCAGTCTTCAGAACTGTAAGAACATTTCTGTTGTTTAAACGACCCTGTCTGTAGTACTTTATTATGGCAGCTCGATCAGACTAATATAGTCCTACAACTTTTTTAAACAGTTTATTTATTTATTTATTTATTTATTTTTTGAGACGGAGTTTCGCTCTTGTTACCCAGGCTGGAGTGCAATGGCGCGATCTCAGCTCACCGCAATCTCCGCCTCCTGGGTTCAGGCAATTCTCCTGCCTCAGCCTCCCGAGCAGCTGGGATTACAGGCACGCACAACCGTGCCCAGATAATTTTTTGTAATTTTAGTAGAGACGGGGTTTCACCATGTTGACCAAGATGGTCTCGATCTGTTGACCTCATGATCCACCCACCTCGGCCTCCCAAAGTGCTGGGATTACAGGCTTGAGCCACCGCGCCCGGCCAACAGTTTATTTTATTTATACTATATACTATTGTTAGTTTCTTCTATATAGAATTTACTTATTAAACATTTCAAAAACAATAAAATCAATTTAATGCCCAGTGCAATGGCTTGCTTATAGTAGGCATTAATATTTGTTGAATAACTGAATAGATAAATAAATCTAAGGCACTGAGATTAAAAACAAGACTAAAGCAAATTTGTGAGGTCTTTTTTTGGGGGCGGGAACCGAGTCTCAATTTGTCACCCAGGCTGGACTATAGTGGCGCAATCTTGGCTCACTGCATCAAATGATTCTTCTGCCTCAGCCTCCCAAGTAGCTTGGACTACAGGCAGATACCACCACACACTGGCTAATTTTTGTATTTTTAGCAGAGATGGGATTTTGCCATGTTGGCCAGGCTGGTCTTAAACTCCTGACCTCAGGTGATTCACCCACCTCAGC